CAGGGGCAGGGAGAAGAGGGGCGAGGAAATCAGGGAGAAGAAATCCAAGCCAGCACAGCCAAGCCTGGCTCTCCTTCCCCTGGAGCCACTGCAGCTTCTGTACAGTCACCGTGGCCAAGCTGAGGAGACAAAGACACTTGTGGGCACAGGGGAGGGGCTGATGTGTCCTTCCATCCTGACACGTCCTTCTGGCCTGTTGTGTCCCTCTGTCCTGACATATCTTTCTGTCCTGTTGTGTCCCTCTGTCCTGCTTCTTTCATTTCCTCCATTTTGGAACAGGTTGCCCCATCCCTGGAAGTGTCCAAGGCTGGGTTGGATGGAGCTTGGAGCAACCTGGTCTAGTGGAAGGTGTCCCTGCCAATGGCAGGGGGTGGAACTAAATGATCTTTAATGTCCCTTCCAAGCCCCCCCAGTGTGGGATTCTGTGTAGGACTGAAGCTCTGTGGTGGCACATGCCAGGCATGAGCCATAATTTTGGCTAAAATATGAACCAAGCTTGGCAACCTTCCCTGATGTTGGGTTGCTGCTCCCCAGGCTGAGGGCAGGTGGGCTCTGGGGGCCCATAGAAGGGGAACTGGGCTTTAGATTTGGGCACTTCAGGTGATGAGAGTCCCTTTGGTGAAGCATCTCTTCGTGCCAAAGCTGCTCCTGCCCATCCTGTTGGCACAAGGGCTGTGCTGGGGGTTGCTCATTCCCTGTGGATTCCCAGCCTTGCTCCAGGCTCAGCCCAGGCTGTCTGCAAGCTCAGACCAAGTCTGGGGTCTGTAACTGAAGCTGTCAAAGGCTCAGCTCTGCAGCACACAGGGGTGGGTGCTGTGCCACAGCCCGGTGGGTTGGCAGTCCCTGCCAAAGTCTTCCAAGGGGATTCCTGTTCTCCAAAACAGCCAGGATCTCCCACCTGGCTGTTCTACCCAGACATGCTTTGATAAGCCCTGAAGTGGGGTCCCCTCTTGGCCAAAATGTGCGTTTTTGCCTCAAGCTGGACCAGGTCAGAGCTCCAGTTACAGCAGCAGCTCTTTGTGTCCTCATCCAGACTACTGTTTGGGTGATGGCCCTGATCCAACTTTATGGGATTTTTTTTTCCTAGCACGCTGCCTTTCCTCACCAGGTGTCAGGAAATGTGCTCCTGCTCCCTGGCCATGTGGTGCAGAGCATTTCTGGAGTGGGTGCCTCAGGATTGGGTTGCTCAGCCACCCAAGCAGAGCTGGCTGCTGATGCCAGGGCAGGAGTGGCATAAACCGGGGGACACTTTCAACCCCGCTGGTTTTTGGGGGTGTTTCCTGGTGACTTGGTGCTGCTGGTTTGCTCTGAACCAGCCATTTCAGTTCCTGCTTCCCTGGAGCTGTGGCACTGCTCACCCAGTCCCTGTGGGATCCCCCTTTGGGGTGACACAGCTCTTCTCCTTTGCCTTTCAGGGCTGTCCTGGCAGACGGGGACTGGTGGGGCCCAAAGGAGACAAAGTGAGTATCCAGAAAATTAGGGGAATGTGGAGTGTGGAGTTTAGGGTCCAGGACAAATATCATGCATGGTTTGGGTTGGTTTGGGTGTTTTTCATCAAGACAGCAGTGGCAGCTTCTGAAGCTGCAGGGTGGTGTCCCTTCCTGTGCATTTGGAAGAGGAAGGAACTGGTTTTAGTGGGTGCTTTAAGCCCGGGCTCAGGACTGAGCTCAGGACAAGCTGCTGTCTCTCCTCTGAGCCACTTAATGGCTCTGCAGAGGCAGCAGAGCCAGGAGGTGGAGCAGCTTTAGCTCAGGTCACCCGGAAGAAGGATGAAAAGCCCCCTGCCATATCCATGGAATCACCTCAGAGGGACATCTGTCCTCCAGCCCTGCCTTGGTGAGACCCAGGACTGCCCTTCCTCCTCCAGAAACCCTCTGTGCAGTGGCCACATGGCTCAGCCTGGTCTCCTACTGCACTGGGGGATGCTTGGGGATGGTCTGCATTGAGGGTGGTGCCCCAGTGTCCCCACCAGCAGCTGCTCCTGCCCACCCCTGCACAGCACTTCCCATCTTCCCCAAGCTGCGGAGGGGCAGACTCGTTGCCCCACCCAATGTCTGTCAACAACAGCTTCTGTACTGGTGGGGTTTAGATGGGCCTGGGCACAGGAACATGTGTGGGAAGCTCATTTTGCTTTCCCCCTTTCCGGGGTTATTTAGATCCCAAGAGCTGGTTTGAAGCCCAGAATGTGCCCCACTCTGACCCGGGTCAGAACCTGTGCTGACTGTTAAACCTCTGGCAGGTTTTAAGGTATTTCTAAGGTATCCCTTGTCTCCCCAGGGATACCCTGGAGCCGTGGGCAGGACGGGCCCCCCAGGTGACCCAGGCCCTGTGGGCATCCCTGGTGTGCCCACCATCGTCCTCTGGAGGAACTCCAGGGAGGACTGGCAGACCTTCACGGTGAGTTACAGCCGTGGTGGGCTCAGGGAGCTCCACTCACACCTCCCCAGCAGCTTCCTCTGCTCTGCTGGGAGCAAGGGATCCCCCAGTTTGAGATTCCTCCTGTGTTGGGTGGGAGGTGAGGGCAGAGGGAAGGTGCCAAGGAGGGAGGTGCAGCTCCATGGACAACTGTCCATGGGATCAGCATGTCCTCTGTTCCCAGCAGTGCTGTCCCTCTGTCCCCTGGGACTGACCAGGCAATCTTGGCTCCCCATGGTCCACACTCATCCATCCCCTCCCTGGGATGGTTCATGCCCTACCTCTCTCTGCAGGACAGGGGCCAAGGGAGACCCAAGCCATGCAGAAAACAGCCCTTCTCCTGCTCTGTGTTACAAATCACAACCTCTCCTGTTTCCCACCATCTCCCAGCATCCTGCTGCTCCCCAGGGTTTGTGCCCATCAAGCTTCTTGCTGAGACATTTCCTCACCTGATCCCTGCTGCTGTGGGGAGCACAGGAGCAGGATGGGCCCTGTGGGGAGCACAGGAGCAGGATGGGACCTGTGGGGAGCACAGGAGCAGGATGGGACCTGTGGGGAGCACAGGAGCAGGATGGGACCTGTGGGGAGCACAGGAGCAGGATGAGACCTGTGGGGAGCACAGGAGCAGGATGGGCCCTGTGGGGAGGCAGCAGTGCCTCAGCCACTGCATGGCTGGATGGAGAACTCCATGGGATGACTCCAAAACTCACTGCAACAACCCAGGCAGCGTCACTCAGGATCCCCAGCTCCTGACAGCACACTGGGATTAGGCTTCATTTCAAACTCCCTGTGGAGCCTGGCCTGATCCAGGCAGGGCAAGAGCTGAAGGCACTGGGTTTCTAACTGCCTCAGGCACTTTTCCAGCCTGGGCTGCAGCTCCCTGGGGTGGGAATGCTCTGTGTTGTGTGCCTGTAATGGCCCTCTGGAACTGCAGCCTGGCAGAACAGTATCAGTGGCAGGTCAGTGCAAGGGGCAGAGCAATGGGCTGGTGAGAGCTCAGGCTCCATCTCCAGCTCTCTGAACTCTTCTGTGACCTTGGGCGGGACTTTTGCCTTCTCTACAGCTCATTCATTGCTGAAAAGCTATCATTGCATCCTCTGCTCCAGGGCAAATGCCTGGAATTCCGGGGAGAGGATGCAGTGGGGGGATCTCTGCTCTGCCAGCACACCCCGAGGCAGGAGGAGGATGGCTCTGTGCTGGTCTGGCTCTGAGCTGGGATTCACCCACCAGAAGCCCTTTTGTGGTTTTGTGTTGGATTGGATCAAAGCAGAGGAGATTAGGAGATGAGATTCCTCCTGGGAAGCACAGCAGAGCTGATCACAGGGAGACACTGGACAACCTCCACGTTGTCCTGCCCTCCTGCCGCTCCAGAGCAGGTGCTGCGCTGGTGCCAACGCTCCCAAACCCCACTGCGGGCTCACAGAACATGCAGGGACGAACAGGGATGGGGGGAGAGGGCCGGAAGTGCCGGCTGGAGGAATCCTGCCGTGCCGGAGAGCATCTCCCCTCCGGGGTGATCCCTCCCTCCCAGGTTGGACGCCTGCAGCATCCATCCCTGCTGGCAGGGCACGCTCACAGCGCTCCGCGGAGCTGCTGCCGCTCAGCCAGAATTCCTTTGTTGTTGTTGTTGTTGTTGTTATTGTTTTCTTCCCTGCCTGCATTTGGAAAGACACCTCAGGCTTTGTTCTTCTACTGGAGAACCGTCCGTGCCTGTTGCCGTGATTTCGGTGGTGTCCCAGCTCCTGCGGCCGCGGGGATGCCGGAGGGAGCTCGGGAAGCGGGAGCTGGAGCGCTGCGGGTCCCGGCCCGGGGGCTCTCCCGGCGTTTTCCCGGCGCTGTTGGCCCGGTGCCGACCTGGAGGGGAAGGCAGTGTCTGGCGGGGGTGACCCGGGCCACCGCAAAGCCCCGCAGGGCCATTGTGTCCGTGGCCGAGTGACCCCGCGGCGCTTTGCCCGGCGGCAGGAAACGGGAGCGCAAAGCCGCGGGCTGGGCTTTGCTAATCCCCGCTGAGACAGCGCGGGGGGAAAGGCCGGGGGAGCCGTCTGTCTGTCTGTCTGTCTGTCTGTCTGCAGCCCTGCACAATGCGGGGGCTTGGGGCAGCGCTGCTGTCGTGGTTTGGGGGCCAGAGGGGATGTCGTGGGGTCTGTTGCTGGATCAGGCTCCGGGAATGCAGGTCAGAGGAGCCGCCTCTCCGAGTCAGGGATATAGTGCAGGAAAAGAGAGGGACATGGGGACTGTCCCAGAGCATTTGTGGTTGTGGTGCTGCTCAACACCCCCTCCTGCTCTTTTTCAGTAGAAAAAACCCCTTTGCTGTTCATGGGAATTAAGGAAAACCAGCTCAAGGCCGCTGTGATTCCACCCCAAACCCCTGCCCTGTGTTTTTGTTCACAATGCATTGATGGAGTTCGGGTTTGCCAAGAATTCCTGGTGTAACTGGAGGGGCAGGAACTGCTCCTGGTTTGTTCTGTCAGCATTGACTTTGGTAGGAGTGGAGCTCCCAAGGCCCCCAGGGAAGGAGGAAGGAGAACTGGAGCTTCCAGAGTTATTGGGGAGCCTAATCTGCAGTGCCAGAATCCTTTCTTTTTATCCATCCCAATCCCTTTAACAGCAGGAGGATAGGCTGGGAAATGGGGGCTGGGGAACTCAGAGTGAAGGAAAATATTGCTCCATGTGAAAAGGAGGGGAATTTTAGGGATGTGCTGCTTCTGTGGGGCCAGCAGCTGCCATGGGGAGGGTGACACAGGGTGGGGGGGTCATGGGGTGGGCTGGGGA